AGCCCAGGCCTTCTCTTCTGCCATCTTTGGCCAGACTGTCAGTGGAGAGGTGGCCTGATCTCCCTACCCTGATGTGTGGGGGTCACAGGTGGCCCCCCTTCTTCCTCAAAGCATCCTGTCAGAGCACTGTGAATTTGTGCCAGAAATGGAATCTCCCCACTCAGACATTTCAGACCAGCCCCCAGACATCCGTTCGGAGACTCAGGATGAGAACAGTTTGCGCAGTGCTCTGTGCCGTGGGACACTTGCTGATAAAAAAGAGCCCCCATTTATTGAGTGCAGACTGTGCGGCAGGCTCCAGACCCAGCACATTACATGTTTTTACCTCGTTTAATAGGGGCTCTTATTGCACTCACTTTACAGATGAAGAAACTGAGGCTTAAACACCATGCTCAGTGCTTCCTTCTGCCCCTCTGAGGCTGGAACAGCCCCGTACCTCTCCCTAGTGGCTGCCCAGATGGTCCCAGTTGGGAGAATTTCTTTGTGGTGACTTCCTTCATGGGTCCCTTCGTTCTTGGGAATGCTTTGGAGCCTAAGTGGAAATGGGGTAGGCTGGGGGTGCACATAGAGAAATAGGAAGGCAGCAGGGAGAAGCTTGCAGTGAACTGGGCACCTCCAGTGTGCGCAGCATGAAGCCAGTGCCCTCCAGCCAGGCCACCACAGCCCACCAAATTCATCTCCTGAGGGTGGGAGCAGTGAGGCAAGGCTGTCTCAACAGCTGTCTCTGCAGCCACCTCTTTAGAGATCAGCCCCAGCTGGGCCTGGGGTAACTCAATCTATAAGAATGTGACACTTGATTCTGCAAAGATTCCCTTTGGGCCAGGTAGCAGAGACTGTTTGCCATTCCAGAATCACTCAGGACCTCCCGAGCCAGGCTGATTCAGGCAGGGACCCAGGACAATGCAGTCCAAACAAGAAGTGGAATGAGGCCTGCCCTTGAACTGGCCTTCTCACTCAGGGCTCCTTCACGCCGCTCACGTGAACTGTCTAAGAGGTTCTTGGGATTGAGGATGCTACAGTTTGGAGGTGTGGCTCCTGGTGAGGAATCCCTTATAGAGTGATTCACAGCTGGGAAAAACAGAACAGAAAAACACCTTTTCTAGACCCAGCCTCTCCCAGGAAGGACCATGAGAGGACGTAAGGGAAGTTTGAGCTCAGCAAAAAAGACGGAGCTCCTGGGAGGAGAGTCTTCCTGCTACTTCCAGCCCACTGGCATCGAATACAGTCAGTCTCTCCAGGCGCCTCCGTGAGATTCACTTGGAATTCTCTGGATGGTTCTGCACATTCTTGTTTTGTGCTTTGGGCTGATGCTTCTGGGAACATCTGATGCTTCTGGCCAAGTTTGGTTCCCAGAGCCTCCACATCCTGCCTATCTTGTGCTCGTGCCTGACCATTTCCTCCCTGGTCCAGGGAGAAAGTGAACGCTCCCACACAACTTCTGGACCAGAAAGGGGCCAGCCTGGAAAATGATAGCCCCAGATGCCTCTGTTGGCCACTCTGCATCCCCCAGTGCCCTCCCTGGGTTTCCAGAGAGCTGCAGCCAGGTGCTGTTTCCACAGCTCTTCACAGCGTCATTTCCCGCATTTTTAGTGTCAGTTTGGCAGGACCTGGGTTTCCATCTTTATGCCATCTTCTGCCCTCCTGCAAGGCACTGCCTCCTAATCTGTGAGCCCCAAACATATCTGAACATTAGTACCCAAGAGACAGGCAGCCTGGCAGAGCTGCAAAGAACATGAGTTTTGAAGACCAGCTGCCTGGGTCAGCAACTCTAGCACTCGCCAGCTCTGTGACTTTGGATAATCCTCACCCAAATTCACAGCTCCTCTGTGTATATAATGGGAATAGTAATGATGCATATTTTTCAAGGTTTTTTTTTAGGGTGTTAGATACTATGTGTGAAGGGTTCAGGCAGGCCAAGCACATAGTAGATGCTCAACAAGTGGTAGCTATGAATTGGCTGTTAAGATATTATGTTATACTGGAACAATTGGACATCTGTGTGCGAAAGAATTTAGACCCCTTCCTCACACCGTATATAAAATGTAACTCAAAATAGACCAGAGACCTAAAATATATCAGTAAATCTTTATGACCTTAGATTAGGTAATAATTTCATAGCTATGACACCAAAGGCACAAGCAACCAAAGAAAACATAGACATACTGGGCTTAATCAAAGTTAAAAATTTTGTGCTTCAAAAAAATTTTTTTAATAAAAAGAGGCTGGGCATGGTGGCTCCTACCTATAACCCCAACACTTTGGGAGGCCAGGGCAAGAGGATCACTTGGGCCCAGGAGTTTGAGACTAGCCTGGGCAACATAGGGAGACCCCATCTTGAAGAAAAAGTTTAGCTGGGTGTGATGGCACACACCTGTAGTCCTAGCTACTTGGGAGGCCGAGGCGGGAGGATTGCTTGAGCCCAGGAGTTTGAGGCTGCAGTGAACTGTAATCACTTCAATGCACTACATCCTGGGCAACAGAGCAAGACACTGCTTATTCGGCTGTTCTTGCATTACAGTAAAAAAAATACATGGCTGGGTACAGTGACTCACGCTTGTAATCCCAGCACTTTGGGAGGCCAAGGAAGGCAGATCACCAGGTCAGGAGATTGAGACCATCCTGGCTAACATGGTGAAACCCCACCTCTCCTAAAAATACAAAAAATAAGCCAGGTGTGGTAGCACACACCCAGCTACTCAGAAGGCTGAGGCAGGAGAATCGCTTGAACCCAGGAAGCAGAGGTTGCAGTGAGTCAAGACGATGCCATTGCACTCCAGCCTGGGAGACCGAGCGAGACTCAATCTCAAAAAAAAAAAAAAAAAAACCTGAGAGTAGGTAATTTATAAAGAGATTTAGTTGGCTCACAGTTCTGCAGGCTTTATGGAAAGCATGGTGCTGGCATCTGCTTGGTTTCTGAGGAGGCCTCAGGAAGCTTACAATCATAGTGGAAGGCAAAGGGGCAGCAGGCAGAGGAGGCCAGAGCAGGAGCAAGAGAGTGAGAGGGAGGTGCCCTACACTTTTAAACAGGCAGATCTCACAAGAACTTGCTGTCTCAGAGATAATACCAAGGGGATGGTGCTAACCCATTCATGAGAAATGCACCCCCATCATCCAGTAACCTCCCACCAGGCCCCACTTCCAGCGCTGGGAATTAAATTTCAACATGAGATTTAGGTGGGGACAAATATTCAAATTATAGTGTCACTCTGTCTCAAAAAAAGAAAAATCAACAGAATGGAAGAAAATACCAGCTGATGAATGGACAAACAAAATATGGAATAGCCATAAGGTAGAATATTATTCAACCCTAAAAATGAATACAGAACTGATACATACTACAACATAGATGAACCTTGAAAACGTGCTGAGTGAAAGAAGCCACATACTGCTTAGTTCTATCTATAGGAAACATCCAGAATAGGCAAATCCATAGAGACAGAAGGTAGATGAGTGATTGCCAGGGGCCGATGAAGGTGAGAATGGTGGCTAATCAGTATGGGGTTTCTTTTGGGGGTTGATAAAAATGTTCTGAAATTAGTGGTGATTGCCGCACAATTTTGTGAATGTACTGAAAACTGCATTGCACACTTTAGAAGGGTGAACCTTACGGTATATGGATCATATCTCAATAAAGCTGTTTTCTTTTTAAAGATGTCCTGCCTCGGGCTGGGCGTGGTGGCTCACAACCTGTAATCCCAGCACTTTGGGAGGCCGAGTCGGGTTGTTCACCTGAGGTCAGGAGTTCAAGACCAGCCTGGCCAACATGGTGAAACCCCACCTCTACTAAAAAAAAAAAAAAAAATACAAAAATACAAAAATTAACTGGGCGTGGTGGCACATGCCTATAATCTCAGCACTCAAGAGGCTGGGTCAGGCAGATAGCTTGAACCCAGGAGGTAGAGGTTGCAGTGAGCCAAGATCACACCACTGCGCTCCAGCCTGGGCAACAAAGCAAGACTCAGTCTCAAAAAAAAAAAAAAAAAAAAGTCCTGCCTCAAGCAGAGTGAGTGAGGATACTTTCCATGCCTTGGTAACTCTTTCACAGAACTGTGGAGGTTGACAAATATTAAAAGGGATGTCCAGGGAAGACCCCAAGGGGCATACAGATACGCTATCCCAGACCATCCAAGTATTCCATCAGCCCTTCCCTTGTCCCCTTGGTGCTGGGTACTTTATCAAGGGGCACGTGTGCAAGGGAGGGCTGGAAGGTACCTCCCTCTGTACCTCGGTGTGTTTTCTGCAGGGACACACATCAGAGACATTTGTGCTCCTGGTTAGAAAGCCACCTCAGGCTTTGAAAGTTTTCAGAGTTCTATCCTAAAAGAGCATCTTTGCCTGAGGATGAGGAAGAAAGAGCTTTTGATTTCAAAAGTGAAACTTAAAACACTTTGTAACATTTGTCGGTGTTTGCTGTCTGTAATCGAGTGGGTGTGTGCATCATTTCTTTTTCTCAGGTAATATTAGGGAAGGAGCTTGGCTTTTGCCTCTTGTGGGTCCACCGGTTTTGTTGACCTTTGAGCCACAATGACTTGACTCATTGACACAAGCACCTTACCCGTTTCTTCTCTTTGACTTCTTGTTTGTCCTTAACGGCCCAAATAGATCCCGAGTGTATTTCGTTTATTGGGGTAATGAGTAGAGTTTGTTTTTTAAAAAAATTCATAGCACCTGGCAGAGTCTTACACGCATGAGATGTTCACGAAGTGGTTTGGGCTTGGGTTAAGGAGTGGACAGTAATGGGATTTTTTTTTTTTTTTCAAGTTACGAGTAGGACTTTAACTAATGGGCATTTTTGCAATAAGCCAAGTTGTATTTGCTTGTGCAGACTTGCCTTTTTCTCTGTTGCTCCATGGCTCTTGGTTAGAGATTTTCCCTCATCTTGTTATAACACCCCATACACACACTTGTTTGGCATTTATAGTTGTTTATATTCAGTGTGGATCTCATCACCCTGTGGACACATGATCAGAATAAATGCTGGCTCTTCCCTTTCTCTACAGGTACCAAAGGCTTAGAATGTTCTCCTTCCACTCCCACCATGAATTCCTACTTTTATAAGTTCATGATCAACCTTCTCAAGAGATTCAGCAGCGAACGGAAGCTCCTGGAGGTCAGAGGCCCTTTCATCATCAGGTCAGCCTTGGTGGCGCACTTTCTCCTCTTCCTCCCACGGCCCCGGCTTTTCACTTTCATGCTGTTCAAGTGTCAAAGCAGCCACCTTCTCTTTCCCTTCTCTCTCCTCCTTTTCCTGACCCTTGGATCTGTTCTTAAAAGAAATGAAGAAGGTTGCCCCTTCATACTGGTTGCTGATGCTTCTGACATGAAACAGACAGGTCAGTGTTGATGTTTTTCCACAAAACTGAATTCATTTTTTCCTTCCTGAGTTACTGTCTTCCCCTGAGGTGGAATGGCCTCTTATTCAATGCCATTGTCAGGCTTTTGGAGAGGAAAGGAGGTGAGCCAGATGGCATGAGACATGGGGCTGTGCTCCAGGCCCAGCCCCCAGTGCGGGATTTAGCCAGGGTTGGTGGAGCCAGGCTTCTGAGTCATGTGAACCCAGCCCAGGATGGTGCCAGGGCAGCAGCCCCAGTGGCTGGAGGCGTCTAGAACTGTCATCACCAGCAGCATGGCTGGGGCTGGTCTTTTGCCTCCAACTCAGCTCCAAGAAGTAAGGTCACCAGAAGAGTGGCCCAGTGTCACCCTCAGCCTGGTGAAAGCTAGAGCAGGGCACAAATTCCTCCAGCTTCTACACCAAAGCCAAGTGGAGGAGATTTCTAGAGTAGTCCAAATGGCCCTAGGTGCTGTCCAGCCGTGGTTCTCAGCCCTGCATGTTAGATCACTGGAGAGGCTTTTTAAAAAAGATGCCTTATACAAAAATTAGCTGGGTATGGTGGTGCACGCCTGTAATCCCACTTGGGAGGCTGAGACACACGAATCGCCTGAACCTGGGAGGTGGACGTTGCAGTGAGCTGAGATCACACCACTGCACTCCAGCCTGGGTGAAAGAGCAAGACTCTCGTCTTTAAAAAAAAAAAGGCCTGGGCCTCCCTCTGATGAGTAAAATCGGAACCCCTAGGGTGATGGAGTTATTAAAGTGGTCTGGGGTGCTTGGGGACTGAGGAGACTACCGATTACAATGGTCTGGGGGTCAGGAGCTGAAGGAGTCCTGGCAGGGGCCCAGGCTGTATGGGGCTTCAAGGCAGGAAAGAGCCTGGGGAGCTCATCTTGCTGTAAACTAAAAAGCAGGTTCAGCCTGTGGGCCATTGTGAGGATTGGAGACCTTGCTCAGGGGTCAGCACGGAGCCACTGAAAGGGCTTGAGCAGGGGATCAGTGTGACCGGATTTCTGGCTTGAAAGACAACTGTTGCTGGGGCGAATGGGTTGGAGGGACTGAGGTGGAGCCAGCTGGAAGGCTGTTGTCCAAGCAGAGACTGTGGCAGCTTGTGAGGGGGATGGGAATCTGCAGCCAGATTGGAGAATGAGGATTCGAGACTGAGTAGGAAGTAGATTTGTCTGGTGACTGATGTGGAGAAAGTGAGGGGAGAGGGAGCTGGGAGTGACAGGGTGTCCAGGCCTCTGATTTGGGGCAGCTGGGTGGATGGCGATGCCAGTCCCTGAGGTGGGAGACCCAGAAGAGTGGCAGGGAGTGAGAAGGGGGTGCATGTTTGGGTTTGAATTACTTTGGGGACACCAAAAGGAAGGTGTTGAAGAAGTAGTTTGCTGTACCAGGCTCTCCAAGGGGATACCAAGGCCCAAGATACAATCTCGAAATTGATGGTATACTCATTCATTCATTCATTCAACAGATGTTTACTGAACACTAACTCTGTGCAAGGTACCTTTCTAGATGGTTCTGCACTTGCGGAGCTTTCATTCTTAGGGAGTTAGAAGAGGTGGAGTGAGAGGGAAGGGGTCTGAGGCTGAACCCTAAGTGTTCCAGACTGTAATGGTTGGGGAAAGAAGGAGAAGCCAGAAAAGGAGGCTATGACGAAGGGCCAGAGAGGTAAAGGAAGCAGTCAAGCAGGGAGATGGCAGAAGGCAGTGAGGGAGGTGAGACCCAAGGATGATGTGCTGGGAGCCGCTGCAGGAGCCTGAATGCTGCTGGGGGAGCTGATGGAGTGGAGCGTACAGGAGGTGACCGGCCAGCTCAGGAGCTGAGGTGGAGTTGAGGGCACCCTGGGGATGGGGCCGCAGTCGTGGGAGAGGACAGGCCTGCCTGACCAGAAAGACAAAGAGCAGGATCACAGTGCGGGGGCAGGGGCTTCTGATGGTCTGGCCACCAAAAGGATGCCCCTGTGGTAGTGGGGAGGCTGTCACCACCCTCTTGCTTCTCTGGCCTCCTCTAGAGCAGGGCTTCTCAAACTCAGCGCCGTTGGCATTGGAGCCGGATAACTCTTCGGGATGGCGGCTGTCCTGTGCCCTGTAGGATGTCAGCAGCATCCCAGGCCTCTGCCCCCTGGATGCCGGTAGCACTTGCGTTCACCCAGTTGGAACCATCTGAAACATCTCTAAACGTTGCCAAAGGTCCCCTAGGGAGGAGAATCACCCCAGTTGAGAACCACCGTGTCAGAGAGACAGAAATGGATTCTTAACCTTCATTGGCCGAAAGAGGAAGATTTCCATGGTGTTTCTTCCCATCATGTTGGCCAGTTTCAGGTAGGGGATTGAGGTAGAGGTTAGCTGTGGTGCAAGAGGCCCCCCCACCAGGAAAGCAGCGGAATGTTCCCACAAGAGTGACAGTTAACATCATGTGGTTATCCAATTGCAGAGGCATCAGTACTCATGATGAGCTCTCCTTGCCTGGACGACTTTCAGAGTCAGTGGAAAGAGAGGCCTTTGGAGGAGGAATTTGTAGCTAGCGTCCCTCTGGAGAACTGGGCTGAAATGGGTTTTCCACCCTGTCTCAGCCCCACATGCCCAGTCAGAGGCATGGGGAGAAGGAGTTTGGGGTAGTAACCAGCATCTCCAGGCTGCACGGAGCAGAAGGGCAGGCACCATGGGCACGCTTGCATGCCCTCCCCACCTGCTCGGGACCCGAGGCTCTGTGAAACTGGAGGCCAGCCCGCCACCATGTTCCCAGGTACAGACTCCAGGCCAGGGAGGCCTTGCTTGCTTTGCAGTGCGTCTCCTGGGCTTCCTGGGGTCACAGGAATCATCATTTTGCAGAAGGGATAATGACAGGAAGTAATGTGGCCCCCGGGCTGGGCAGGAGCTGGGATGCAAACTCCTGCACTTTGCTAATTCAGCAGCCTCCACTTTGTCCGTTCTGTGTGGGAGTGCAGAGCCTGGTGCCGTGAGAGGCCCTGAACATCCTGCGTGCTAGGACCACCTGAGGCGCCGCTCCTCAGAGTGCTCAGGAGCTGGGCCAGTGGGTCCTCCCTTCCCGTCCTCCAGGGGCTCAGTATGGCGATTGTTTGCTCTTCTGGGGCTCAAACCTGTCATGGGCCACGCTGGGTTCTCTGTGGAAATGGAGGCTGGCCTCTAGGCCTCACTCCCACCGGCACAGCCACAGAAGGTCTCTTAGCCATTGGCATCCACACTAGAAGCCCAGTGGGCTGGGACAGAAGGAACCTTGTGACTGGTCCCCTCACAGAGGACTGGGTCTCTCCTAGTCCTTCACCTGGTTTCTCCAGACTGCTCTCCCCCAGAAGTAGCACCCACACCTGTCAATGTGCATCCTGGTAGACAGCCACCTGGCCCAGCTGGCTCGGGAGCCTGCTGCCCACTCTGCCAGCACACCGGGCCATTGTCCCAGCCCCTGGGTTGCAGGCCCAGCCACCCAGTCTGGGCACACACATGGCATCTGACATGGAGAAGGCCCTGCAAACATGTGGCTTCCTCCATCCTCCCCATGCTTCTGTGGGGGGCTGAGGCCCTTCCAAAGAGCTTTGTTGAGGTGGGGGGTATCCACCTGCTCTCCTGCTTCTCCGTCGCACTTCCTTTTGTCCTGTGATGGCTTTAAAGAGGGACATCATTGGCTGGGTGTGGTGGCTCATGCCTGTAATCCCAGCACTTTGGGAGGCCAAAGTGTGTGGATCTCGAGGTCAGGGGTTCGAGACCAGCCTGGCCAACATAGTGAAACCCTGTCACTACTAAAAATACAAAAATTAGCTGGGCATGGTTGTACATGCCTGTAATCCCAGCTACTCGGGAGGCTGAGGCAGAAGGATCGCTTGAACCCAGGAGGCAGAGGTTGCAGTGAGCCGAGATCATACCACTGCATTGCAGCCTGGGTGACAGAGCAAGACTCTGTCTCAAAAAAATAAATAAAAATTAAAAAATAAAGAGAGGCATCACGATGGTTCCGCAGATGCTGGCATGAAGCCACAGGCCTGATGAGGCGCACAATGATTTCTTAACCCCCTCTTTAGCTGTTAGGCAAACTCTAAGTTCTTCTTCTTAGCCTCCAAGATTGCACACTGAGAAAGAAAGGAAAGAGATTCTTCTGGCCAGCAAGTGAAAAGCCGTTCTTTTGGCAGGAGTGTGTTTAGCTCTGGGCCCTGGAGTGGCTGCTATAGAAAGACAGAGGCATCGGGAGTTCTTGAAGACACACATCTGCTGGCGGTTCTTGGCATTGAGGAAGATGCATGATTTCCCCAAAGACCCTGGGAGCGTTTCCTCTTCCCCAGGCAGCTTTCCCAGGCCGCATCTCTGTCGGAGTCGGGGGGCGGTGAGAAAAGGGTACCCAAGCTCCAGCCAGGCTTGAGTGGGTTGGATTTCCTCTCGGTGTCCACACAGGCTCCTTTTCTGGTGGACATAACAGTTTAGATGCATGTTGAGGTGAAGTCAATGGCTTTAAAACCTTCATCTTTCAGCTGGCTACTCTGGCCCCAGGCCCTTCGCTTAGCTGATGCCAAGCTTATAGATTGAGGGAAGATGGGGACATGTGCGGTGGGGTGCTGTACCCCACTCCCTCCATAGGACTAAGGCAGATGAGCCTCCTGAGGCACTCATTTGGGGCTCAAACCCCAGTTCCTCCCATTTTTAACCATGTGACCTGTTTCCAAGCCCTTTCTGCTTTGTGTGTGACACAGCAATGATAGTGCCGGCCGTGTCACAGTGTAGTGGGGTTATGTAAATGGCGTATGTGTCAGCCCCAGTGCTGGTGGCTGTGTCTGATAAAGCAGGGCTGT